GAAAACCAGCAGAGTGTGGTGGCTTGCTGATTTAGTTGACCAGCAAGCGGTGATCAAGAACGTCAACCGACCGACATCTCGACTCAGGCGGCGAACGAGACCATAATTTTAGAAACCCACAACGACCGAGGACAGGCCCAGTGAGAACAACCAGATTCCGGTATAAAAAAAATACATAAGTAACATAAAGTAATCTATGGTAACGTAGAAGGCTACCGTATGTGGTTCACCCAACGTGAATGCTCAAGCTTACATATTTTCATTATCTATGATTCGCATCGATCACTGCTGCCACTTGTTTGAGCGAGCGTGAGCTACATAGTTTGAACCCATCACACACAAGACATAACCATTCCCCATAACGCAGGGGCAATCACCTATTATTTCCGCCTGTTTATGTCTTATCAGCCGGAACCGACTAGGTACCCAGTTAATTTTGTACATATTTTATGCAGATATTGAAATTCGTAAATAGATTATACTGAAACCCTGAATTCCATAACAAATTACTCTACGAGGTGGTATCACTCACCGAATGCGTTTACTTGGCATCGTTTAAATATAATATATACTTTATTGTATTAGAATATAAATATTATGTGTTACTACATTTGTAGATACATTATTTTTAATTAAAATCAGAAAAACCTAAAAAAGGTGTATATTCATTTGCCTATTAAACTTTTGTAAAAATATTTTTTTGTTCTCTACAAATTGAATCAAATTAAAAATATGTACGTTATGTAATATATTTGAATATTATATTATAGATGCATGTATCTGTTAATAAAGTAATAGTTAATATAATTATACTTTTGATTATTATGTTAATGCTTAAAATATTCTTGTTAATATAAATTACCATACAAATTGAAACATAAATTGGTGTATTGAATAAACAGTTAAATGAGAATTTACAATATTATTTAGGATATTTGAAACTATTTATTTAACATAATGTTTTAATACATAATATAGCATACATAAAATATGCGTAGGCTGTGTTGCAGATTCAATTCCTAAGTATTCAGTGAATGATTAGGGTTTGGGGCTTCTAAAATTTAAATTAATTTTGGTTCTCTTCACGGATATGGACTGTATTGTGTAGTAATAGTTAGCTCTAGTTAAAATGTTGCATTTTTGTAGGTTCCTCTTGTATGCAGATACTTCTATAATTATATTTCTATAATACTAATTACTAGTTATAGCATTCAATATTGTTAATATTATACTCACAGATACCTAGATACTCGTAAGCTGTATTAATCTACAAAATCACCATGTCTTGACAAACTTTAAAATATTATACATGAACTTTGTGTTACTTTTATTGATTGTTTAAATATATTTATTAAAATATTGCTGGTTATAAATGAAGATGAGTCATCACAACATTTTTGAGTTTTTGACAATCCAATCTGGCTATATACTATCATAATTTAACTAGCAAGGTTCCACTCGTTAGGTTACTCGTCTACCTTAATTAATCAAATAACAGTTAAGATAGTACTGTAGAATGTCAAAGTGATATAATTTAAAAATTAATGATCTACAAAAAAAATTGCTTGGTATCAACATTTTTAAAACATCAATTTCAAAAACGTAGTTAAACTTTATTTGTTCCAAATATAATTGAATTATAATAGTTTATATTTGAATTATATTTTCACTACGTAATAATCTAACTTTTAAAAAGTTTTTGAAGACAGGTAAAAATATTCTACCATTTTTTTTTTTAGTTTATAACTTCTAATATGAGTTATATATTGTTCAAATTTATACCTTCAGTATCATTTATAATATTCAAAAGTAAATTATAAGCGTTGCATTTAATTTATTAGGAATTAAGTGATTAATATCATTACCCAGTTTTTGAATCACAAATAATTTTTCCAATGTGATGATGTGTAACATAAAATCATAGTACCTAGAGTCGAGCAATAAAAACTAATAAAATTAAAAAACAAAAGTGGAATAAATATAAGAAAGATTATCATCCTCAGTGTAGTAATAAATTGATCTTATTCCTGATGTTGTTTTGGCATTGTAATTTTTTAAATATTTATTCTTAGGCAGAAGATAATTTTGTACTAATATGAATATCACAATTAAATATAGAGGTATTCAGTTGTTCGTCAAAAAATGTTTTGAATACATAACATTTAGATTTTTGGTACAATATTATGATCAGTAAAAATGCATTATTTTTATAGCGATTCAACATTTTTTCACAAACATCTAGTAAATTAAATATTCCGGTTATATAAAAAATATCAAATTGACTCAAGTTGATGTATTCAAATAATAACTGTAAAATTGTCTCTTTGTTTGTATTTATTTCGTTATATATGAACAATAGTATTACATTATATTTTATACTAGTCATACATTGATCTATTTTTTATTCAATGTTGAAACTTGAAATAAGTTATTTGAAACAAAGTTTTTACCAATACGTAATATCATTTAGGAAACTAATCATGGCATATAAAAACATAGGAACATTTTATTTTTGTTACCAATATAAAATATCATTCAAGTGTACTTGTACATATATAAATTATATGTTGTACTAGACTTTATATTTTCAAATACAAATTGAGTTGTGATACATTGACGAAGATATTATATTGGATTTTTAAGGACACATCGTCGTTTGAAATAATACTACTAGTACTATCCTAAAAAAATATCCATGTCAATACAATTATCAAGATAATAATACTGTTTAAAAGAGTTTAAATAACATTGACATTTTTTGTTTAACTTTAAGTACTCTTTAGAAAGAGTTTGTTTTTAACGTTATCTATACTATACGTAGCAATATAGCATTTAATGTCAAAATACATTAAAATGTTATTCAATTAATGTGTTACTGTTCAATTAAATGTAAATTGTCTAGTTAAAAATATTCAAATTGCATAATCCAGAGAAGAATAATTAATTTTAAAATCCACAAAAATAAACTTTGTACAATCGAAAAATAACTCGTCTCAGTGTAAGCTGACATCATTGCCATGAATTATAGTTTATTTAATATAATACGTTATGGATCAATGGAGACCATACTTTGTTTGTATGATCCTATTAACCAACATAACATGCATACGTCATATTATTCTAAACGTTGTATACGTATAGCCTATAAGAACTTCTGTAAGTATAGCAAATATTATTTTACAATAATGTTTGCAGTACAAAAAATATTGTTACCGCAGTATAGAATGATACGCGAGTTAATTGGTCAAGTTTGTCTACATAAAATGTGTAGCATAACAATGAATATATTACTAAGAATTTGAAAAAAAACCATAAAACATTTTAATTTTTTTATTTCATAATCATGATATTTAAACGGTTATTACAAACAATAATTGTTGGTAAAAACCAAAATGCTGTTGTACATTTTGATGAGTGTTGTAAGCCGGCAGTTAAACGATCGTTTTTAATGACCACTGAATTCAACGAGGGTCGGAAATTTCAGTTTTGTTTTGTTCGATTACCTTCCATCATGCCACTAGATTCGTTGGTGATATTTATGGACTATAACTCTAAAAGTGATCTCGAAGCGTACAATTTATATTTATAAGCTTTTGGAAATAAAATATTAGTTTAATATAATAATTATAATACTTAATAATAACATTCTTACATTATAATGATATGCATCTTGATAGCCACGTATCAATAATTAGATACTAAATTCTACATAAATTAAAATAATCCCTAAAAATAATATATTTAATAGATATTTAGTTTTTTTTAGAAAATTGACATTGGTTTACTTTGAACAACAAATAGACGTACCTATTGTTTACGGTACAATATACAGAAAACAAAATATAGGATATTATAAAGACTAATCCTTATTTTTCCTGCTCTGCGCTATGATAATTATTTAGCTGCCCTTTTTTTTGAAGAATCATATTTTTCATTTTTTTTGTAATGAATATTATTGTATAATATAAAAATATAATAACGCATACACATTCCTCAAGTGTTTACATTTTGTACTAGCGTAATATATTTTTGTTAACACAAAACTACCGTTACAAATGGAAAAAAAATATAAGATAATAAAGTTTTGTTCATAATAAAATATTATATATTTAATACAAAAACAGCGTTGTGTTATTGGTAGTATTCTTAGGAGATAAACCATTAAAATTCAAACATTTAAGAATCATAATTCGCAAATAATATTCAATATATTATTTATATTACTATATTATTTTAAGACAAATTGCCTTATTATAACTATGAAACAATATCAAACCATACAAAATTTAATTTATATTATAATAAAGAGGACCCGTCATCTTTCGAGTTAAGCTAAAATAAATTTCAAAGTAAAATTAAACAAAATGTTTTTAAATCAAACTTAAGATGGTATATATAAAACTACATTGATATACGTGTAATGTAGACTCGAGTTACGTAGCTAATTCAAATTATTTGCCTGTTAATATAATTAAAAGGTACTTTAATTGGCAAAAAGTCTTATATTATTTTTGCTCGGGGGTTAGTAAAACCCAATGAAGAATTCAGCTGGGTAGCCTTCCAAGAGAACAGTAGAGCAAGCAAAATGTAATGTTTAACTGAATTATTATAAGTATAAATTAATGTCTGCGAAGAATAAAAAGTACAAAGAGTTTAAGGATTAATCGTTGACTGGGCGCAGAAAACGGGGAATGGTTCCTCTGAAAAACGACGTCGAAGTAAACACGAATAAAGACGTACGGAATAATTATTATTTGTACGAAATTCAAATAATTCCTTCGAATGCGATTGTTTTGGTCGTTTAATTAAGAGAAGTAAAAGTACAAAAGTGCTCATTAAAACGACAGTATTAATCGATACAGCAATAGCACAGCGGTAACAGTGGTAACAGTTAACATTTCGGTAACGAACCGTTTAACGTTTTCCCGGGTAGGTACGTGACGGACTAAAAATAACAATATATATTCATTATAGTGTCACGACGACCAAATTGTACTCACGTGTTCAGATTGTCGGCGTGATTTTTGTCTTTTTTCCCTCCCTCTGAGATGACTGATGCAGCCGATACAGACAACTGGGCGGCTGGACCGGAAGGACCACACTTCGACGATCGCAAAATTTTTTTTCCAATATCTAAATGTCGATGTGGCGTGTATTGTAACGGCACTATCACTATACCGCACGACGAACCGAGGGAAATATTATGTCGGAGTGTAAAAACCGGAAGACACGAAAACCACGACGAGCAGCGGAAAAAAAATCTACGCGAGATCTACGATTTGACGGACCTCGGTCGATGACAAAATGTTTTTATGAAACTAAAAAATATCGAACAAAAAAAAAACCAGAGGATTTTTTTCGCGCAAACGTGACGAAAGTTTCGGGCGCTTTGCCGGCGACAGCGCGACGGGACGAACGCGGAAAATCGTGCGAACGAGGGCGAACGGCGACTGCTAAACGTTACGGAAACGCAGTCGCCCCCCGCGAAAAAGCGCTCCAACGCATGACGCTGCCGAAACTCTTCAAGCCGCCGCCGCCGCCGCCGCTACCGGCGCGTGTTCGGGCCGTCCGGCCACCGCATGACGGAGCCCGGAGCGAGTGCCGATGGGTCGCCCAGAATCATCCGGTGTTTCGGCGAAGGTTTTTAATTCTATCGAAATGAGCACCGTCTTTCGATTATAACAGTCGGCGACAGCGTTATTGTCACGTGCCCCGTTGAATATTGTCATTATTACTATTATTATATAGGCATGCGTGTTATGTACATGGGTATAGTATCATGAAGTTCAGAGATTATATTTTGCATTTAATTCACGTGGTCGTGTACGTGGTAGGAAAAACGAGAATCAGGTATGTGCGAGGATAACAATAATATAATATACAACCAGCTAAAGGACTACTGGTATCCGGCACTGGGTGTAAATATACTAAAAAATCCTAAAAGTTTATCGCAGTACGAACAGCGGTCGACGGTCGTTTTTAAACCCTTTATTGATGTATAATACAAGCTCGGGCCGGCTTAGGAAATTGGGGGTGACCCGAGAGGGCCGATACTGCTGCAGTTATCCGACCGAGAGCACATAATATATCATATAGATCTATATTACGCATACCATCGTACCAGTCACGACTGTGTTGTAACGCGGCTCGAAATATTATGCATAATAACACTGGTAAAGGTTAGCTTGCCGGTTGAAGTCTTCAAAAGCTGAATATCTAATATTCCGATAGTTTTACGTTGTACAAAAGCGTTTTTGTACTGTCTTTATTCAGTATTCCGTTGGGTTTTTTTTTATGTTTAATAATATATAACTATAAAAGTACAAGTCATTAACCATAAATAAGATAACGTTTTCTTTATTTCAAAAAGCACGGCAGTTCCATTTGTAATTTTGGGATAAGTGTAGCATCATCTAACGAGAACTTTTTTTTCTTTTAAAAAAACTTGATGTTAATCGGCTGGTTGTTTGAATGGTAAATATCAATAACTTTCTCTCACAACATGTAAATAATTTCTCTCCAAATAATAATAAAAAAAAACATTAGTTGTTAGTTGAATACATTTATTTCGTATTTATAATGACTTTATTATAATAAAATAAACATAATAACATCATGGTAAACATTGAAAAATATAATAATATTTACATGGATTTTAATTACCTATACGGCACTACCACTACTCATTGTCTACTAAATGTGTGTTCTATGTTCGAAAATAACGATTTATTCCTTAATTTTAATTCTATAATGTGTGATGGTATTAATTTATTAAAACTAAAAATGTTGGTGTACGATATAATCCAATTTATATGAACATTTAGTGAAATAATATAAAAATTCATTCAAATCAGTAGATTAAAGTACTGCGAAAAATGCATATTGCTATTATAGAAAAGACTGATAGCTAATGTAAAGAAATCTGAGATCTGAGTAGTGAATAACATAATGGATTAGTTTTAATTATTTATAATTTGAACATCTTACGTACAAGTACAATGTTTATCTGAAGGAACGAGCATGGTACACTAGAGAATTTATTGAATGATGTTGACAATGGACAGTTTGAAGTCAGACGATTCTCGGGCTCTTTGACGATGTAGAATAAGTCACACAATAAAACGGCATTGCCGTTTTATACAAACACTTGTTAAATTGACTTGAATCGTGTATCACATTAATGACGAGTATATAAATAATAAATATGGTATCATTGTTTTATTAATAGTTCTCTAGACGTCTACTACACTGTGTTCTGTTGAAGTTATTTTTATGCAACTTCCATCATAAAAATTAATCAATGTGATACAATATATTTAATTCAGTTCAACTAAGCATTATCATCTATCATGAAAAAATATAAAATATCGAGGTACAAGATTTGGTTAAGGTTAAGTTAGGTTTAGGTCGGGCTTCATTATATTTTAGATGAATGGTAAATCATTTAGTTTAGAAAATTATTTTTATTGGAGATTAGTTTATCCTAATGTATGCTACAAAGGGTGCACTTATATACCACACAATCTTTTCAAAAAAAAAACAACCGTCTGTGACCATTTTTAAAAACTATTTAAAATCGACTTCAATTCCATACAAAAGTAACGATTGAATATATTTTGAAACAATAAATAAAATGTTTCAATATTCGCACATTGTAAAATCGATTGTAGCTTCACGCTCTACTCTAGATCTATTATAAACAGAATTAACGTAATAGACTGTAACGCATTATAGGTACGGTATTTCAAAAGTAAATTTTATGCTATGTGTTCTTTGAGAATATTATGCGAATAGAAATTATAAATTAATTACATAATGTATAATTCAAATGAACTGAAATTATTAGGTACAATTTATGCACTGTGTTATGACTGTAAAGGCTACCTGTAAGCCAAGTCTGAATTTTCATTTTGCCCGTAGTACTAGGAGTTAAGTGAAGTTGGATTATGTCGAGTGAAACGATTTAGGTGGTCAGGTAAATAGTTGTGGAATAGTTTGTCGGTAGTTTCGCGAACTGTTGGCAACTACTAGGGTATGGGATAGAGTGTTTTATTAGTTGCGTAATAAAGACCATTAGTTAATCAACAAAACGTATTTACCTAGGACCGTACTCGGAGTCATTAAATGTTTTTATTGTGCGCATAGTACATGTTTCGTGGACGTGAGCCTCAAGTATAAGGTAGTTGGATAGCATTAAAATACAAAAAAAAAAATATTTTTAAAAAACCTTCCATGGTAAAAATAACAACACTTATAGTGTTTGGTGAATACTTTTAATAATATGTTGATTCCTTATATAATTTTCGTGCTAGCTGGTATGAAATCAAATTAATTAATCTTGTGGGTTGCGTGGAATTCGTTGTAATATGGCTAGGTTAGTGTTTAGGTTATAATTGGTTATGTGTAATAGCCAATCGGTGGGTTTTTTTAGATATAGTTTACAACACATAATTTGTAAGGCAAAATTAATTATAAATATAGTATTTTGAGTGTGTTTAGTGACTAGTTAATATCAAAAAAGTTAAAATATTAAGCTACAAGCAACATAAAATAATAATAGTATAAACCCAAAATATTGAGTTTAACAATTAATATAGGTACTTATTTTTAACACAAAAAATAATATTTTGCCATATTATATTACATCATGCAATTACCTAATGAAATAGCCTAAGTGCGTAACGCGTCTATTTGTTCTAATTAAATTGTTTCAGGGTAATTCTTAATTGTTATACCTTATCATTTAAAACAAATGAAAGTGTTTTTTTTTACAAATTAATTTAATTAATTAAACTTCGACCTATTACCTACATAACACCTTACATCATCTGAACTACAGATAATAATTATGTAGATATACAATTCCAAATTAATAATTGTAAACAAATATTATGTTATTTAAATTTCTATTGTACTATTTGTAATTTGTATTATATAGTTTTATTACCTACCCACATTTTTCAAATATATTCAGTTCCACGATAATAATATGCAGTATAAGAATATAAGATACTTAAGAAGATAATATATATAGTACTATCATATCAAGTAGTGTGTACCATATAAACATTTTTTTTTATTTATTGTTTTTGATTCCGTCAACTGTGGTCATTATTTAGCTATTGTAGGTTTTTAGCGGGGTTGGTAGATAAGGTAGGTTGGTTTGGCAACTCGTGTATGTGTGGTAAGGATTTTACTACTAAGAAGACGGTTGGTCACCCATCCATTTTCAGTTAACGGTGCGCACTCTCAATGACGTTGAGTGACTGATGCCAGCAACCGTGACGCGCCAAGTCACGCCATGTAAACTGTCACTATTATCAATACAATTTCTTATTTATAATTTAATCTATTATTTTCTACTCTTATCGTATATAAAAAAAATAAATATCATCCACGCTAATTAAAACATTTTATAAAAAAACAAAGAGCTTCCATTGGCCATGATTCTTAGGGTTAAAAAAAAATCATGAATGTAAGCACCTATTATAGTACCTACCCATACAATAAATTGCATGATCGTCATAAAAGCAAATATTTATCATGACTTTTGGAGTATTTAGATTCAGTAAGAATATGAAAGAAGTTATTAAGAGTTTTCAATCATTTTTTAATCAGAAATGTATTGAAAAAATAACTGAGGGTTCCTTTTGCACAAGTCATCAAATAATATAATAGCAATATCACTATTTCACTAATTCAAAAAAGTAAAAATTAACCCTGAAAAAAATATTATTGTCGTTACGATATAATAATTATTATTACGCAGCACAACATGTATACAAAGAATAGTTTTTCTTGAATTTGTTTATTTAAAAATCCCTAATTCACAATACTGAACTATTTCAAAACTACAGAACCATTTTTACATAATAATCATTCATTTTGTAATGTCACATTTGCGATTTTCTTTAAAAGTTCACAATAAAAGTATATTGACAAGTCACTGACGAATACCACATATGTGTTTACCATATATTTGCATTCATATTTTCATTTCAAAATGGCAAACTTTGTTTAGTCTAATGTTTCGCATTTATTTTCTCTTTACCATATCCCGGTCAATTCATTTTCTTGAAACTCGTGACAAACACAATAAATCATATTTTTTGAGCATTGGACATCCAGCACATGTTAAAAAGAAACTCTGTATAGTATTGAAGATTCACGATGATCAATTTTTGACGAGTTACCATTGAAAAAAATTCAAAACCATCTATAACACATCCACCATGACAATTCACGATTAAGGTACATCATACATTTGATGACAGTATGTTCAAAAATTAACTTATAATTTAATAAAAATGTTCAGTACTATAATATTATAACACATTTGTATCACAAATATAAATATTGTAAGTAACGTCATTTTTTTTTGAATAACTATAATCTGAACGAAACATAATTTTTACATATTATTATCAGACATCAAAAGGAAAAGGAAAGAA